GTCAACATTTGCATCCATCTGTATCATTAAAAATGTGTTTATTTCATAGACTCATTAATGACCGAACTAGAAGAACCTTAGAGATCATCTAGTTTAAAAACCTTTCATTTTAAAAGTGAGGAAACTGAGGCCCAGTAATTTGTTTAGGCCCATATAACTTGGGTAACCAAAAGTAACTAAAATACGATTCCTAAGGACTGATGAAAAAATGATTCCTTCTTTTCACAAGCATAGGCTACATTCACTGGAAAAAGGCTTTAAACTTGGTAGGGACCATCTAGTCAAACTCTCTCATTTTACAGATGAGGAACCATGGCCCAAGGGCCCACTCAATGTGGACAAGATAGGAGCTTTGAAAACATTAACTTACAATCATAATACAATCCAGTAAACATTAGCAGTTCAATATAGACTTAAGTGTTCCATAAATAAACAAAGAGAATTTTGCTAATTATCATGATTACATTGTATTGATCTTTCCAAGAGGCAAGAGTAGGGTTTGGAAATGAATAAAAGGAAACGATGAGTTTTCATGCATGTCCTAAACTCTAAATTGCTTATAAACCATCCCCACAGTTAACCAAAGTTAATTTGCTATCATTCCAGTGGCAGATATGTTACATTCCCCTGGAATATAGTAAAAATGAATGGAAATAAATATTTAGTGTTAGTATAAAGATGAAATTTGCACAGGGATATATAGCCTAAAGCAAGATTTAAAGTGACTGACTGGCTTAACATTCAGGTCACATATATTTGGAAACCTGGCCTGGGGTAGAATACTCCTATTTTCAATTTGGCAAGGGCAGGTGTAGACTAATCAGTTCTCAGGCACTCCCCTAACAGAAGTATAACTAGGGCAGGGTGACTAACACTATGTCCCAGGGCAAAGAAATTGAAAGGACACTGACAGCACTAGCAGATCTTTAAGCATCATAAAAAAAAGACTGAGCTTAACACCTAGTAAAAAAGGATGATTAGCTAAAATAGGAAACTACCAGATAGTTCTTCATTTCCCTGAGTGGCTGCACCCAGATGAGCTCCTCTCTGGTCCTTGGCCCTCCCTCCTTTCTCTAGTAGCAAGCTTGAGGGGCACATTTTATGCTGCTTGAGCTCCAGGCTCATTTTGTATTTCCCACCTTAGGCATAATATTATTATTTATGACTCTGGTCCTTAGCAACCTTCTATTTACATTGGCGGGTCCCCTGACTTTCTCTAATATAAAATCAGTACACCCAAAGCAACTTCTCTGTAGACTGAGGACAAGGAGGGAGAAGGTTCATTTCATGACCCAAGTTGGTCCAACCTACCTTTTCATCAGAGGCCATTGGGACTTGTTATGGTTTTTTCTTTCTTTCATCTTTTTTTTTCAAGTTCTCCAGACCTTTACTTAGGCATTTGCACTCACATTCTTCCACTCACCACCTCATGAACTTCACAAAGATGAGGAAGCTGGACAACTTTGACAGTTGTACATCAGCACCTATTACTGTCTTGGGTTTTCTTAGATTGAAGGTTTCAAAGTAAAAAACTGTGAATAAGAACATCTTCTCATGTCAGAGGAGGCTCTCTAGGTTAATAGAAAGAAAGGATGTAACTTGTACATAAATGATGTTCCTAATGAATAGAAAAAGTAACAGTATATTACTGTGCACTCCAGGTGGTGCCATATCTAACATGTATGCTATGTTGATTGCACGTTTCAAGATGTTTCCAGAAGTCAAAGAGAAAGGAATGGCAGCTATTCCCAGACTGGTTGCCTTCACATCTGAGCATGTATGTGTTTCTGTTTTTATCAATGGTATATTTTGTGACTGTCACTGCAAAAAAAAAAGATACTCACAATTGCTATCTATCTCTATCTCCACATTCCATTCCTATCACCTACTTGGGAAAGAAGTGGGGAGGGGAGGGATTTATTTACTGGGAGGGAGGAACTTGCTTTTCTGTTTCTGAAATGCAGGTTTTATGAATTATAGAACTGGATTTCCTAACATCTGTGCTCCTATTGCTTCTTCTCTTCCTCAGTAAATTGAAGAAATATTGACTCTTTCAGACCACTAGGCTACCATTGAAGCTGTGCCCACATAATCTCTAAGTGCTCCGTCTATCCAATTGAAAATATAATCAAACAGATGTGTTACTTACATGATGTCAGATAACTCACTTTTCAACTGACTTGACTGCATATTCCAACATCAAATAGCAAGTCAGCATCCTTTTGCCTATGGCTAGGTCTGGACCCATTGGTCCCTTTCCCAGCCTCCTTTAAGTCAAGTTCCAATGGAGTCAAGGAAACTCCAAACTCAGCATTGAATCTGGTCCAGAATTAGGTTCACTCCTAACTGCTGGTTAGGCAGTAGGATGCTGACATTTTGCCAGATTTCTAAACCCTGACTAGGCACCACACTAAAAGTTTACTAAATGGTCCCCCAGTGGCCTTAAAAGAGTAAATTCTCATCTGAAGTGCCCAAGTTTCAAGAAAGACAGTGAGGGTGTAATTTAAGCCTTGAGAAAAACTGTTCCATTTGATCATTTGTTTCTCTAAAGACTATGACACTTTGACCCTGTGGGTGTTGAGCTTTCTTTCACATACCAATGACAGAGCAAATAAGACCAAAACCACCAATCAGCTGCTTTGGAATCCATTCTGATCATCTGAATAAATAAAATAAACTTGAGATGTCATTGACAGTTAGCATCAGATAAGATACCAAACTATCTTGCCACTCATTGTGACATTCCTTCACAAACTCTGCTATGAATTGTCAAAGGATCTCAAGGGACTATTTCATTGGATGCTCAAGGACTCCTCTGGGGACAGTGAAAGCAAGATGATAGGGAAGGCGATAAGAGAGACATCTAGGGAATGGCCATGGGAGATCTCAGAGAGCTGAAAGAAGAACCAACTTACAAGGGGGTATTCTAAAATCTAATGCTTCCTTTTTCTTTTCTTTTTTTCTTATTTTAAATATTTTATTTTGTTTTCAAATGAAAAACAAAGAAAAGAAAGGGGCAAAGAGATCACAAATACATAAAATTAAGAATAAGTACAGACTAGAAAACCCATATTTATAATTTATAACCATAGCTAGTAGCCCTGGAGCTAAAGGTAAAGTAATGGCTGAATGTCAATTAATTATAATTGAGCGTTTCATTTTTGATTGTGTGTTTTTTTAACCCTAAGCAGGTTACATGAAATTGAGAGAGCCACGCTGTGCCCAATTTTCTGTACCACTGTACTCTTGGAATTGGTGTCCCAAAGTTGTAGTAATGACTTCCTGGTCTCATTTTCTTCCCTCTAAGAGCGTTCAGAGTTAAGTCTCTCTATACCCTTACAAACCTAGAGTTTTATTACAGAAAAACACCAAATTCAGACCAGCTCAGTGCTGCCTCTTTTGCTACTGTTAGCCTACCTTGGAGGAGGTGTACCAGGGTAGTGGTACATCCCCTGTGTGCACCCATGCTGTCCATTAAATGACCTTTGCCCTGCCATGTTGGCTTTCATTCTCTCCAAGACTGTCTCAATTAAGACCTTAGTTTTCTTGACTTAATCCCCAACCCAAACCCATCAGAGCATGAGTATTGTGTGCCCTGCTTTCTTCTCTTGGTGTCTAAGAGGTAGAATCTCTTTCTATCATTTTTGAGGGGAAGAGAGTTGTCAGGTTCTTTATTTGTTTTTTCCAACTTCCTCTTGCCTCTCCTTCTTCCATCTGTAATCAACTTAGACAAATCATTGGGCAGGGGAAATTACTGTATGAACTTTAGTGAAAGTGTTAGATGGTTCTGATAGTCTTACAATCTTGATGAATTCTTTTTTTGTCTTTTTTTTTGCTTTTTGGTGAGGCAATTGGGGTTAGGTGACTTGTCCAGGGTCACACAACTAGTAAGTGTCCTGTGTCTGAGGCCGTATTTGAACTCAGGTTCCCCTGACTCCAAGGACGGAGCTCTATCTACTGTGCCACCTAGCTACCCCTGATGAGTTCTTTACATCATATCTGACAGATGAATTAAATTTCATTAAAGACCAGCTAAGTTCAAAGATCCATTGGTGGGGTTTATTTCCATTGATATCCAGCAATTGGACAGCATGTATCATATTGAAAAAGATGTCATTGTTGACCTTTGCCCAAGGTAAAGGCAGAGACTTAACTAGGAACTTTTTCATCTGCAGCAAAAACAGGATAGTACAACTCAGAGTGGAAGGTGTGGCCTTTCCCTTCCCTCTCCTCCACTAGCCTTTCATCATTTAACTTCTCCTGGAGCCTGCTCTCTTCCCAAATCTCCATAAGGAAATGAGCAAAGGAGGCCCACAAGGCATGAAGATAACATTTTCTAGACCACTGCAGGGAGGAAGCACAATTTCCATATCAGCAACTGGAGCAAAGCTCCAAGTGCCCTGCCTTAGTTATGACTCTGTATAAAGGTATATTAGGTACAAAAGGCATATTACCAGCCACTAGAATAAAACCACATTTTTGACATAGACTGACTGAGGTAGAAGAGGCTTTCAGAATTCATTTCATTTATCCCTTGACTTTGGGAAGATTTCTTTAAATCACTCCAAAAAGAAACACATCTATTTATTCCACTCTTTAAGATCCACAGGTTGCATAAAACTTCAGTTTGCAATCCATCCTCCCACTTTAAAATGCTCAGGGCCAAAAAGTTCTTGTCATCTCACTTAAGCTCATATTATTATATGCTTGATTCATTTCCCATTGATCACTCTGAAGTAGACTTTAAGAATAATTTGCCTCCATCATCCATGTATAAATGTTCATATACTTGAAGACAATGATTGAGTTGCTTCTTCAATTTCTTTAATCTGGTGTAGTTTCAAAAAATTTTGTCACATGGAGAATATTGGGGATGGACAAGGAATACGCCACTGGTGGCAGCAGCAGATTTATGTGTCTCTGCAGCAGAGCTAGGGAGAGTGGCAGGAAGCCAGGGCAGTGGGAAAAACTGCCAATTTAATAGTAAATCCTAAAAAGCTATAGTGGTAGCAGCAATGACCAGAGGTTACCTTGGAATCATAGCATATCAGATCTCTAAAAGACCTCTGAGGTCGTCTAGCCCATACATCCTTTTACAAGTAAGGAAAATGGAACTCATAAAGGTGAAGTAATGTGCCCAAGGTCATGCCATTACAGTCGGAGGCAAGAAAGGCAAGGAGGTTCAGTGAAAAGAGCCCCACATCCAAATCTAGAGTCAGAGAATCTAAGTTAAAATATTGGCCATTTACTTACTGCTTGTATGACTTTGGGATAGTCACTGTTCTCTCTTGGTTCTCCTCCAATCTGTCTAACTATTCCTTCTCAGTTTCCTCTGCTAGTTCTTTGTCCCCATTGACCTGGGGTATATCCCAAGGTTCTGTCCTCAACACTCTTATCTTCTCTCTCTATACAAACTTGTTTTGTCATCATGTCAGCTCCTAGAGCATTATTTATCATTTCAAAGCAGCTAATTCTCATATATTCATCCTTAAATTCTCTCCTGAGCTCCAGGCTCAACTCACCAGCTACATTTTGGATATCTCAAATAGATATCTCATGAGCATCTCAAATCCAACATGCCCAAAACAGAACTCATTCTATTTTCCTCCAATTCTCCCCTGTTCCAAACTTCCTATTCCTATCAAGAACACCAATATCCTTCCGTAACCTCAATGTCATCCTCAGCTTTTCACTCCACATATCCAACTTGTTGACAAATCTGATTATTTCTACCTTTGCAGCATCATATATACACACACATCACATGTAATCCAGGCATGATGTGTTAACAATACATACGTGTGTTTATTTATATCCACATGTATATACATACTATATACATATACACATATATCCCTTTTTTCCCAGGTAGTCTCACCATGATGTGGTGAGAATATATATGTGTATGTATATATGTGTGTATATACATATACACACATATTATATATACAATATGTGTCTATATGTGTGCAACAAAAAATGTACAACTATATGTATGTATGTATTTCCCCCCCCCCCACTCAGTCTGGCCTGGACTATTGCTATAGACTTCCTATCCATCTCCCTACCTCAAAATCCTCCCACTACAATCCATCCTTCACTCAGCTGCAAAAGTGATTTTTTTGTAAATCTGATCATGTCACCCAACTACTCAATAAACTCCAGTGACTCTCTCTTACTTTCAGGGTTCAATATAACTTCCTCTGTTTAGCATTTCAAGTATTTCATAACCTGACCCTTTCCCACCTTTTCAACCTTCTTCTGCTCCACTTCCCTCTACACACTCTTCCAAACCTTCTTGCTGTTTCTTGGCAAGCCTCTCCATTGGCCATCTTTGTATTTTTGCCTTAGCTGTCCCCCATGCCTGGAATGCTCTCCTTCTTTACCTCCATAGTTTCTCTGACTTCCTTCAAGGCTCAGCTCAGATCCTACCTTCTGTAGGAGGCCTTTCTTGGCCTCCCCAGGTACTGGGGCATCTCTTTGAAATAACCTTCCATTTACTCAACACCATTTAAATATGAGCTCCTTGAGATCAGGGACAAAGTTTTTGTATTTCTTTGTATCCTCAGGGTTTTAGTGCAGAGCCTAGAAGATGGTAGGTATTTAATAAATGCTTGTTAACTTACTGACTGCACCTCTCTGATCTTCAGTTTTCTTATATGGACAAGATCAGGGGTGGGGAACTCGAGGTCTCAAGGTCACGTGTGGCCCTGTAGGTCCTCAAGTGTGGCCCTTTGATTCCAAATGTCACAGAATCTGTAGCCTCAAGGCCACAGG